TCGAATATATTTAGATGGGTATCTTCTACATATGCTTACGTTTGTATGATACATCTACTCCTACGTCTATATATTTGTACGCGTATGTGCAGATATATCTCTACGGTATAAATAAGGAACAAGGAACAGTAGATTGCGCGGGTCCTCGTCTCGATCCCATCATTTCTTTTATATTTTTTCATCAATGTCACACGTGACGCCAGAATGTCATTTTCATGCGACGAAAAAAAATGTTTATTAAAACTTGGGTGCTGCGATATTACAATTTTCCACTAGTGAAATATGGAAAGTGATTTTTTACGAGAAAGTAACAAGGTGTATATAGCTAAGATTAAAAGTCACGCCTATGAGAGGGTTGAGCGTCTTATTATTAAATTTTGTTCGTAATAACACGGCGCGGAAGGATTTTTACCCGTAGCTGATTGAGGAAAGGGATCATGCAGTTAAATTAATATTTCTTCCCCGTATATTCTAAAAATAGAATAGGTGCTGTTTCAACAATTTTTGCTCGATTGTTGCTTATTAGTTTTCAAACATCGTACTAAAGTTACACGTGGACACTGTTTTTATTTACCCTTAGTTTTTTTTCTAATAAAAACAAAAACTTCTTCATCTCTTGTTTATAAACTCGATAACTTACATTTTATAAGTGATGCTATAAAATATATATTATATGAGGTAAAAATTTACGAATATCAATGTTAAAATTAAGTTCGTAGTTTATGTCTATCCATAAGTATAAAACATTCAGAGGCCCAGCAGGTAACATATTGTGATAGTAACAATTAAGAAAAAAATATATTACTAAATGTATATAGTACGGACTTGACCTCTATCTCACCTGATGGAAAGTGATGATGAGGATGGAGTCACCTTAATGATGCATATTCACTCTCGCCGAGAAAAGCCTAAGCTGTCAGGATTCTTTATTAGTTTTGCTCGGTATAGTTTCAGTATGAACTTAAAGTACAGAGAAATGCTCCTCATTCTTACAATCTAAAGTACACAAAACACTAGTATTACCGGTGTGTCTGTAGAAGTGTCGTACAGCCCCCTGTGTTAGGGATGGCGCACACTAGGCTCGCGACGAGCATGGCAGATGTGCCGCCGGTTGTGATTGTCTTGCCGCGATGATTGATGATCTCCGGCGACGGCTGCGCGCTAGGGTTTGCGCTCGCTTAGTTTTTACAAATTATATTTTTCTTTGTTATTGTGTTTTAAACTGCATTTTGTTGATAAAACAGAAATAATTTACATAATTTACTAAATAACATTTAAAGAATAGAATTGTACTTATAAAGTGACGATTAATTTACTTGTTGTAGCGTACAAATTGTTAATTTATTATTTATTAATTGTTAAAGCAGACTTAATGCCATATTTAGTAGATATTAAAAGTTCGAGATTACGAGATTTCAAAATAACAAATACTAAAACATAACACAATGAAAATGACCAAGAATTCCTGCAAATGAACGTAAACAGAAAACAAAACAGATCGCAAACAAGGTAAATAAAGTGTAAACAGGGAGATTAGTATTGCAAAAGATAACTTTCGAATACAATAGATACTTAAGCTCGAAAAAAGGGGATTATCCGTTCCCTTAGCTGGTTTCGATTGACAGCTAGCTTTATTTGTACCCTTTGCAAATGGTGACTCCGCCCTCTTATTCTAGTTTTCTATATCTATATAATATACCTAGCGCTGATTATGATAGTATGTACAGCGGCATTCTTTGGAGAAATCAGAACAAAAGTGTATTTGATAATTATCGGCAAGAAATACTTTCATTAGCTTTCAAAGTAGGAATGTATTGATGGTCAAATAAGTAAACAGAAGAAAAAATCGTAAAAAAATGAGCTAATTTTGACGGCCTCTGTGGTCCAGTGGCTTGCACACCGGTTTTCATGGTGTCGCCATCTCAAGAGGTCCCGGGTCCGATCCCCGGCCGGGCCCGTGTAGCCAACTAACTTTTCTATATTGTCTCGGGTCTGCGTGTTTGTGGTACGATCGTTGTTACCGATTTCCATACTTACTTTGGCATCACAGCACCGTATTAGCTACTTACTTTGGCATCACAGCAACGTATGTGATGATGTTGTCTGATGTTGTCTAATTACAGGAATTTGGAAATCAGGAGTTAGACAGAAACGGTAATATTTGTTTGTGACGTCATTCACTGTGTTAATGATACCAACCATACAAGCTACATACTAATTAATGATCATTCTGCTAAAAAGCGACGGCATCCTCCTATCACTGATTTTTAGCTGGTGTTAGTTCAGTTATCAAAGAACGCATTACGGATAATTTTTTAGTTTATTCATGTGAGTTGACCGAGGTAGTTTTGTTTTATTCAGTCAGTAACCTTACAGGGTCGACGGGTGGGGTATATATAATGTGCCTCTTGCTGTCTATGATAGGCGTTAATTAATATATTATATTAATAATATTATAGGCGCTAATTGGGTGTCGTAGCGAATAGGATTCGTAAAGTAAGCAATGAAGCACTGAAGCTTTTCAATTAGGTATTTATGCAATAATGGACCACACATTGCCTCATTCATTAATAAAATGTGCCTTATTTAAAGATGTGTTTATACTCATGCATACATCTTAACATTAGAGAAAGTATAAACTACAGTAAAATATACAGGAGGATGTTTTCGATTGTGTTTCCTCTAGAATTAATGAAGCGCTATGCGTATGCAAAAATTATCAACATCATCGCAATAATAACGCAACACACGCGGGTGCCATAGACGCACAAATTGAACCCAAACTCACGAGAGAAATAAATGTAGGCCATGCACATATTTCTCTCGACCTGGGAATCGAACCCAGGACCTCTGCGTGGCAGTCCAGCATGGTAACCGTCGGCCACGGAAGCAGTTACGTAGGTAATGTAATGTGAGAAAAATGGAAATAACCAAAATGATTACCTAAAGCAAAAATAAATCCGACAGTAGCGTAATCTAAGAGAGGACAATTTATAATTCTATTAAGTACTAATGAATGTATTCAGCCAAAGCCAAAGCCACCGACTAGTGTCAATTTAATAGTTTAAAAGTGACAACCCTAAGCTGCTATTCAACTCACGTTTATTCAATATAAGCAAACTCCACAGCCACAGTAAGAGTGCTCCACCGAAATATTCTACATTCGTCAAACGTAACATTTGCAATCATTTTGATGTATTATGCGACATTGATGTGACTTTGAAAATTAGTACACGCAGCCGTATGCCAATAGATTTTACATATCGAGTTCTTATCGAGTTTTCGTGATTGCTACATTGGATTTTAACTATTTTTTCGGTTCTAAATTTATAATGACACGGAGGAGGAGAGATAGAGAACGATTAGAAGCATTTGAGATGTTATGCTAGAGAAGAATGGAAGGAATTGGTTGGACAAAAAGAAACTTGATGATGTTAAGAACAATGCAGGAAAAGAGAAGCTTTTTAAAGAAAATAGAGAACCGAATGGGAAAGATTTTGAAAGAAAGAAGAGAAGTTTGGGCAGTCATGACAGTCTTTCAGAAGTATCATTGAAGGGAAGACCTAAAGAAAGAAAGCCAGAGCAAAATCATGACGAAGCTATTTAGATCAAACAAAGGAAATAGTTTATGTCGTGTTGCAGCAGGAGATCAAAGTTAAAGAGCTGAACAGAGATGGGTCGCAATTAGTCAACCGACAAGACCCGAGCTTATAGTTAAGAAGAAGAAGGAAATCGTGTATCAGTCAGTTGTGACTATGGCATCTGTAGACAGTAAGAAACGTTGGTTTGTTTGTAAAAACAAATAAACGGAAATTTAAATCCGAAAAATGGTTTCTTACTATTATGATTTTTCCGAGCTGTATTTTTGCATTTTTTAGAAATTTGTAACTAGTAACAATCGTTAACGGTATATTACAGCCTACGGACTGTTATACATTGCAAATTTCAATGTTTCTACTGTTTAAATTTAGATACGGCCACTACTGGGAATGGTTATTCTTTGAAAGCACAGCCCGGGCTCTGATCCCTACTCTTTAGAAATAGCTGAGATTGAAATTGTGATAATAACTTTTACTAAACTCTGGTTAAAACTATACAATTCGTTCATATTTTTAAACTGCATTTTGAATGCGTTGTAAAAGAGGTAAAGATCAATTTTGGACAAGGAATGTAGATTCTTTGTATAGCTCCAAGTGTGGCCCATATACAAGCTTATAAGAGCAAACGAATTCTGTTTTATTACTTACTTAAAAATATTGAAAAGACAGGTTAAAACTTAAAAACTTTTTTTGATTTGGAACGAAACAATAATGTAGTTACTACTATTGTTTCATGATGTCGATGTTTTCTAAACCAAGCAGTCTTAAAATCTTTTACGACTACTAGCACCATCTGTTGGTTTCGTGTAAAGCTACTATGTGTCAAGAGTAACCTTCCTGAGGAGGGTCGTGTAGTGTATGCAGCATGTTCGTGGACAGAACGTCTCACGTAGAACCTTTCTTCTGATAATAATAATATGAACTAAATATTTAGCTTTTAATCGCGGAATGTAAACATTATTACTAATACGCATTATTATTGTTGCTTTTTGGTATCGAATCGTGTAATAAGGGTTTTATGTTTGAAATGATTCTGATTCTAAATTCACCACAAGGCTGTATTAGTTAAAACCTCCTTTGACGTAAACCTTCTATGATGTTATTTCGACCGGCCTTCGCAAGATGGCGTTTTGGAACATTACAATTATTTAATTAAACATATTTTAATTTTGAAACCACACATTTATTCTTATACATATTTACATTATGTTTACATATGAAACACTATAAGTTAATTAAAAATATATTAGATATTAATAGACATTACTGTTTAATATGGTATGCATGCGCAGTAGTTGCTACTAAACAATTTTTTTTATTGATAACCTATTATTATAAAAATGTCCATTATAACTTAATCACAGAATGCATCAAAATACCTATGTACTATATATTTGATATTTAACAGTCGTCACTAATGTGGATGCTCTTAATCCAAGATAAGTCCCAGTTTTGGTCAATTTGACTATCTGAAGGAGGTACAGGTATCTGTTCTACTAGTGGTGGAGTCTCTTCAATAATCTCCTGGATTACATTGCTGTACGCGGGAGGCTGGCGCTGCATTTGAAATTGCAGTTGTCGGTTCTGAGCTTCGTATTCAGACATGAACGAATACGGACCCATGCCATCGGCCAGAGGTGCAGCAGTATTCTGTTCTGTACTCAGTGGATATTCCTCAATAAAACCATTTGGCTGGTACATATCTACGGGCATCGGAATCTGGTCATGTATAACGATGGGTAATCCATTCGTAGCATCAGAAGAAGATGTGGTACTTGTTGCTTCGTCCTCGTCTTCTTCAAAACTCTCAGCTTTGTCCTTTTTATCTTTCATGCGGCGATTCTGAAACCAAATCTTGATAGTCCGTTCGTTGAGTTGCAAGGTTTCAGCCAACTCAATGCGTCTAGAACGATCCAAGTAGCGGGTAAGAGTAAATTCTCTTTCGAGTTCCATCATCTGTTGACTTGTAAATGCAGTGCGAATGCGTTTTTGTTTTCGACCTCTCGCGTTATTGTATTTTGGCGTCATGCGGCTGGTGCTTGGTACAGGCTGTAGATATCCATTGTTGCCATGCATCATGGTCCCATTTTGCATATGTATAGGACGACCGCTATTGGAACTGTTGAACAGTACATGCCCATTTAAAGTTCGCGGAGCATTGGGTAGAAAATACCCATTGAGATCAGGCGCAGTGGCAAAGGAGGAGTCCATATATCTTGAATTATAGCTGTTGAAGTTCGGACGATATGAGGTGACGAACTTGTTGGCGTTGTTTCCGTTGTAGGTTATTCCGTTGCTAGTTGATGGTACGCCGGCTGGTAGTGATAGTTCACTCCATTGCAGAGTCTGCAAACAACAAAAGAAAATATTCGCATAAGTTTTCATATCATATTATTAGTAGATTCTTGCAGGTACTAATTCTTATAATACCGAAGGCTGCTAAAGAGATATATTTTAATATAAATTTTTTTGTGCAAAGGTATTTAGTAATTAAAATGTAACTTTTTGGTAGGTAGCAAAAAAGATACTTACAGAACTATTTTCTGCGTTACTGCTCGGAGTCCACTGATTCTCAGAGAACTGGGGCTGCGCAGGTGTCGGGGTTACGTTGATTGAATCGTTTCCAGACATTTCAAGAATATTGAGAGTCCGAGGTTCTAAGCTACGTCCGGTACGAAAGCCCGAGTGTAATTGATGCCTTTCCCTCAAAGTAGTTCCGTTTTATACTTGTCCTGTTTTATTCACTAATTAGGGCCCGTCGAAAGCTCGATGCGTCAAACGTAATTAAAAGCGTGGCGTTTTTCCGTACGATTGTGGTCAAGGGTGTGTCTATTGCTTTATTGACTTTGATTTAATAAATGTAATTCTTATCTAACTTAATCGATAATATATATAAAAATTGGTAAGTTTTGAGTACCTTGTTCCAGTGTATTTTATAGATTTTTTTGTTATTTAGACATAAAGTTGTTTTAATTGTGAAGTTAATACCGGAACCTGTTTCGAATATTTTGTAAAGGAAGCTGTCGATGATGGAGTTGCATTGGGGATGATTGTCGTTCGTACATATACGATTATTTGTGATATACCAATATACAGTATTGGTTGAATGGAATCCGTGTACTACGAAAATATATAACATTACGTATCATTGTTATTTAATTATTTATTTATTTCATAGGTACACACGTATTACTACATTCTAAAAATACAAATTAGTTTTTAACAGTTTTTATATATTTTGTAACAGAAGCATCCTTTTGAGCATAGTAATGGTATGATTGATATTTCACGTATATATAACCATAGCTATACAATGTGTAAGCTTAATTTTAACCGATACAATATAAATAACAAGAAAATAATAAAAAAATACAAAAAATTAAGTAAAAGAAATAAACTAATAATAACGTACCATAAAATGATTCAAAAGATGTAACTCAAATATAGTCATCTAAGTATACATTAAAAAAAAAAATGACACATGAAATAAGTAGTTGTTGCTTATTCTAAGAAGTTTTATGTCAAAATAATAAAGTGAAAAATAATTAATTTAAAAGTTTTAGGGTTTCAAGTGGTAGGTATACTCACTGTTTTTTTTATCGTTACAAAAGTTTTAATTTTTTTAATTATATAGTAAATTATAAAATCTTTAGTATTAATCATCAATTAATTATTTCCTACTTTCTTTTTTGTCAAGTATTCATTGAAAAACTTAATATTCATTGCTGTGGTAATGAAATTTGCGGCCATTATAAAAAATATATTGTATAAAATTATAGGTACGAAAATTCTGATATGTACTCTCTTCCAGAGACCACAAAATTGGAACACCAGTTCTGCATTGTCGAAGATCTATAATATACTGACCTGTGATTGCTAACCGTCAAAAATTTATACAAATGAAAATGAGATCTAACGAGACTATTAAACGCAATAAGTTTATTACAGTATTAGATGTAATTCGTAAACTTGGCGATGGCGTAGTGTAAATTTGTAAATAAACACAAAATTAACCTAATCAATTTAATAATAAGTTACCTATTACCACAGTGTGTATTACTGAGTTAGTAAAGGTAGTTCAAGACAAAATAAAAACAACCAGAAATTAAATCAAAACTAATATTTCCGATGTATGTACTGTGGGAGCGTAGCCTTGGTTATGACGAGGGGAGCAGTAGGTATTACATTTTACCGAACAACCGATGAATTAATCGCTTATCTTAGCAAAATTTTTCTTATTTGATTGGACCAATGTGCTAGACTACCACACCAATTACCTGGTCTCAAACTAGGTCTCACTGTACTATGAGTACCAGAGTATCAGAATTCACTCCCGAGGCATTAGCAAATGGTCAATTACGTTTTTAGCAAGTTGTAATAGTGCGGAACGGGTAGGTGGAACATTGTGTTTATTTTTTTACGAGCAAGCCAAAGACTACGTTTTCTATATATATGATTATACATATCACACATGACAACTAACATAGCATTATCTGAAACATTGCGTTATATTTTATTAATATTAGCTACCTATTTAACACATTTCCAAGTGACGGTGTTGCCTTGTCACTGAAATTAAATCGTATACGAATGACATACATATACAACGAAATTTTGAAGATAAATTATAATATAATGCAGTTCTAAGATAAAATATAAAAATGCGCAATTTTGGAGATAATACTATGTTAGTTGTCAATTGCAATATGTGTAATAATTTCTTTCTTCGTAATTTAAGTTCTTGGTGTGTTTTAGTGACGTTTATACTCAATTAATGTGACAGAAGGTGACAGCATTAAAAATATCCGGCCTAATAAATTGCAATAATTAAGATGGTTATTGTATTGTACACAAGGGCGAGTTTTGATGGAGATTTGTACAGTCAATTGCACATTATGTTTTTAGTACCAGTAGAACTTCTTGTGTAAGACTTCATCAAGCAGTAATGTGAGCATTACTGTGTTTCGATTTTGAAGGGTAAGGGTCCTGGTAAAATTACAGGCACATGGGGCTGTCAACTTACGTCTCAGCATGACGGGCGCAGTGGCAGTACTCCTTAGATTATTGCGATTTAATGCTCGGAGCGTCACTGCAACTGTCATGGCGTGTCGCTTAACACCAGGCGCACGACTTGTTGGTTCCGTTACTTGGTATCATAAAAAAATGCATCACATCGAATATCACCTCCAGTGCAACGGAACAAGATTCGTTAACGTGTAGCTTGTTGCGCTGCCGTATGTACATTAAGTTGGGAAAAGAAATTTATTATTCTATATCTGAAATAGCGTACAATATTTTGAGATAGCGTGTAATATTTTAAGATAGCGTATCTATCCATCTCTCAGTAGTGTGTAAACAGTTATTCTAAGTACCTTCCTTTATCTTTAAAAATCTCTTAACAACAAGTCTTGTGCTTGTTTACTCCGATAATTTGTATAGAAATCTGTCATAGACCAAAACATCATTAGGGAAGTGACCCTTTCTAATGATTCGCCATCTTTTGATTCTATAAGCTTTAGATACCAAAGTTGTGAAAATAAGGAGCTCTGTTAACAGATTTGGAATAGTTATCTTAATTAATTTGGTGTTTTTGGTGGTTTAATAGTAGAAAAACAAATATTTGCTATATATAAACATTGCTGCCCTATTTGCAAAATAGGGGTTCGGAGAAAAACACTAGAAACATATTTTTAGAATGAGATATTAAATAATAACTGCTTTTGTGGCTGAACGGTTACCATGCTGGACTGCCACGCAGTTCCCTAGTGCGGGGCTGTGAGCGTGTGCGGTAAAGATATCTAAGCAACATAAATATATCTAAAAAAATGTTTCTCGCGTTTTTCCCCGAACCGCTATTTTGCAAGTGCTGCCTTTACAATTAGTTAGCAGGGCAATATAACTAAGAGCCACTACAAAGCATAGTCAACTATAAAAATGGTTGATTATCTAAAATTTTCTTATCTCAACTGTATGTAGGTAAAGTCTTATATATTTTGGTTACACCTATTTAAGAAAATTTCTTATTATTGATCTATGACGATCTATTCATAATAATTCATAATTATGAGCGTAAGATTGGTGCAATTAAACGTCGGTCATGGCAAGTAGGAAGCGTCAGGAAGCAATACCAGCGTTGCGCTGTTAAATATCCAAATTTTTTTTTTATAATATCAAGTGTTTGGACGAACAAGTCGTGCGCCTGATGGTAAGCTACACGCCTGTCCATAACAGTCGCAGTGCCTCTCAGAGCTTTAAATCGCAAAGATCCGAGGAACACTGCCACTGCGCCCGTCACCCTGAGACATAAGTTGACAAGTCCCATGTGCCTGTAATTTCACCAGCACCCTTACCCTTCCAAACCGGAACGCACTTATGCTAACATTACTGCTTGGCGGCAGAAATAAGTAAGGTGGCAGTACTTTCCTGGACGAACTGTTTCACAAGGAGCTAGGTCTACTGCTTTTAAATATAATTATGAGTGAGTAATTTTGAACATCTTCGAGTAAATCCCAACCAGTTTACAAGAGACACACTTAGAATCAAACGGTTTTTGCTACTGAGATAAATTTTTATCCAAAAGTAGATACTTGATTGACTATAATTTTTTTCGGATGATCAGTTTTTGTCATATTGACTGAATGAGGCTAGCAGTGCAAAAGTGGTGTAAGTAACTTTTTTTATAGTTTGACTTTAATTATAGTATGACTTTAATGGTATTAAAGTACATAATTATATTATATTATTATTTGATACAATGAAATATTTCAAAATTGTGAACTTGACATTTTTAGATTTATTAATCTTTATAAGAAATTCAATTAAGTTTGCTTTCAACAGTTTGATACTCAAAATGGCAAAAACAGAGAAAATCAGGCAAAATGAAACGTATCAAATTGTTGTAAGCTAACTTTATTGAATTTCTTGTAAAGAAAGTCTAGTTATGTATAGGTGAAATATAAAAACAAACCATTACGTATCTGTATGTATTTAGTTGGCTTATTAAGTAAATAAAAAAAATGGGTGCTATCTTCATGTATTAAAATATTTCATTATTATTATTTTTTATATATGAAAATAGCATTCAAATATAAAATTATTTTGTACTTTACCGCGATTTAAAGGAATTTGTAGAAAAAAATTAAATGTGGGTTACACCACTTTTGCGCTCAAATTACAAACACCTTATAGGAAGCATCTGCAGTACCTGATGATTTTTAGTAAGTACGTTTTGACGAATCAAATATGTATCTCATTGCTTGAGGAATGTACCCGTATATCTGGAAGTTAGGGCAGTTTCCACGTAACTTAAAACTTTCTTACTAAGATGTGTTTAGAAGTTCTAGTTCATAAGAAGTGTTTAAGAACCAAATATTTCGCATGCTTAGTGTTCACTGCAGCATGCAAATTTTTCCGGTCGTAAAGCAAAATTTGTTCTTTCTTTTTGCGACCATGGGGGATCTCACTGTTAACGTGTTACGTTTGTCCAATTATTTCTTATAGGTACCTCAATTACTTAATTGATAAATTTATGACTCAATTCTATAAATTCCGTTTCTAATGGGGACATCGTGCAAATTGCCCATTAATAAATTACAATCGAATTAAATAATTGCGTACGACCGACTGCTTTCTATCATTTAGGCGTGATTAGTACATAAATTAGAAAATTATTCAAATATTTTAGTTAACAGTTCGATGAATACTATTAAAGATAACCTCACCCGCCATTTATTGTGTTATTTTCCGATCTAAGTGTATCATTTTTGTGTATATGTACTTTTTTAAATTTTACATGTTTTTTTTCATTCAGAATAAGAATTAGATTCATCGGCAGCAGACAGGCATTGTTGCTGGTACTCTTTACATGTTTTAACAATAAAACACGTAAATGATTATTAATAATGATTGAGAAAGTTTTCAAAGAGGTATATTCCACAAACATTTTGTATAAATTTATAAGTTTTCTGGTGTAAATGTGTACACAATTATATTAACTTGTAAATACTAAATGTTGAAGAGGATGCAGATACAACTTGAAAAGACGTAACTACTTAGTTTTTTTTTATAGAAAGTTGATTGACAAATTAAAGATATTTTTAAAGTAAAATTTTCTACATCGCATATTTGATAGTTGTTTATAACGTTTGTAACGTTTATATAATTTAATATTTTGTTTTTTTTTTGTGCACTACGGCACAAAGAAAAGTAGTGATTTTTATTGTGCCGTCCACGAACGGATTAATGTTGCTTTTTTTTATGTTAAGCTACACGCCCGCACTGTTAAGCTGTGTAGCTCTGTTAAATAGACAATTAATTCACGCAATAATAATAAATAAACATACCTAGTTGCCATATCGATGCCTTACTTTCTCAAACTCGTATCTTATAAAGAGTGATTATTCAAAAGATGGCAAAACTTTCTATTTATTTTAAATTTCTTAAGAATAGGTAAAAGCCTATGTGTGTGAATATGAAGGAAATGTGAAAAAGCTTAAATAATCTTGTATACTATAATTATTTCACTCTCCTTTAAAATTACTCGAAAATTACTTGAGTGGTGCTGTTTGCTAAGCGACGGAATGGTCGAAGTTTTGTAGTGCTTTAGACATTTTTACGGAACTTCATTCTTCGTAGTACCGTGGAAAAATATCGTATAATACAGAAAATAATTCATTAAGAATACAAGCTGAGAACGGTTGCTGAATAAATGGAGGAAATTCTAATGAGGCACCTCGTTAATTATACTAGGTCTAAGCTGCAAATACATAGTCTATTAATTAATAATTAGTATGGATTGTTGTTATAAATAAATTATTATTATTGATAATTATATCAAATATTTCATATTTTGTGACTGCGGCTCCAGTAGTACGAATAGATATAATATTCGTTACATGACCTTTATGGGCTTTTTTATTTGAATTTGGTAAATACCAAATGTATGCAACATTAAGCAGTTACGAAATTGGAACGTACGGCTCTGAATTTAAGGAACTTCGTTTTCTTGACTCGAAAATATTTAAGACTGTAATAATTTAGTTTTCCTCATAATATATCTAAAATTATCTTCGCCGAATCCATTTGTTTTCGTTCTGTGTATCTCAAAACCTAAATACATTATTGAACGCTGTGTATTCAGGGCGATTCTCCGTCCAATATTTGTCATCAGATTAATATAGTTCCGAAATTTTGTATTTTGAACATCGATCTCGGAAATATAGAAACGAAATGATGCATCACTGAAAGAAAGGCTTTGTGCTACGTCTTGACATAGGCCTATTTACAATGTTATCTAATAATGGCAATGTCAGACGATGTATGGCTATAAAGGAAAGAACAGATTTCTACATACGGACCACGGAGCGGAGTTGTAGAAAAACCCCTAATTCGGGCAAGCAGATTGTCGACGTCATTTATTATCTTTGTCTACATTAACTAATAGTATATATTACCTAATGTTTAAAATTTTAACTAATTTAATAATGATTTCGAAACGATTGGTATATATGGTATGATATTGTTTTCTAATTGTTAGTTTTGTTCTAGTGCATTCATGACACAAATTTGGAGTAATATTATGAAATATTCGTGGCGAACAACTTTTGAAAATACTATGGAAAAACGAAAATACGGTAGTGATGAAGAAGTGTATCGGAAAGAATTTGAGAAAGCAGTAAGTGTACATTTCTTTTGAATTTTTACAAATATATTATTTGTCTGTAGTTTATATTAATAGCACACCCATGACCATCATTAGGTACTAGTATAATATTAATTTTCGTTAGAGATGTTTGGAAGAATAGTTTTAATTACAATAATTTTACTAATGTGGATATTTATATGGTTGGTTTTCAGGTCAGCAATTCCAATATGAACAATCATGTGAAATATTCGTCCAAAAGAGGAAAGAGATTCCGAAGTGCCTTTACTACAGAACAAGTGAATTATTTAGAAACGGAGTTTAGAAAGTACCCGTACATTGGCAACGCTAGGAGAAAAGATGTAGCCAATGTCCTAAACATTCCAGAAAGAGCAGTAAAGATATGGTTCCAAAACAGAAGAATGAAGGAAAAGAAAGATGGCATAAATAAAGACATAGATGAAACGAAAAACCTTGATCTTTGTGGCGATCAATTAAGAAATCTGAGTGTCGTAACAATTAATGAAAGTCATTCATTACCATGCTTAAATACATTAAAGGAAATTCCAAACAAAACAACATTAAACAACAGTATTGTTACAAATGATGCTAAACTGGATTTAAGCGTACCGAGATGTGTACAAGGTAATAGTCATTTCTACAAGGACATTACACCAGAACGGGAAGTTACGAATGTAAATATCAGTCCTGTATCAGGGCCTACAACGAACGGATGTACAATATCAAAGACATCAGCTGACTTTTCAATAGAGTTGTTAAAAAAATATAAGAGCGAGTTTTCGAAACAGGAAAATTTACAAGAAAATGATGGTGATGTAAGTCAAGAAATACGACATTCACCAATGAATGAGTTAAAGAAGCAGACACCCTCTGTTCCTCAATTCCCAGTTACAGCAATGCCAGAAGACTTATCATCATACAAGAAGCCAACAATAGTGCCATATGAACACCCAAAAGTAGTACCAGAGAGAGTACAACCGAACAATTTGGAGGCAAGCGTGAATAATGCAGATTTACCTCTATATGTGAAAGGATTCTACACTCAACCATATATTCCTCCAGGAAACATGATATGGAAACCAGTCAATGTTTCTCCTGTCATGTCAACAGGATTTTCGGCTTTGAATCTTTCCAATAACACCCCAGTTAATATGACCATAGGTCAACAGAATTTTCCTAAAAGTTGTAATTGCGATTGTCATATGAAACCTTATTGTAGTCCTATTTTATATCAACAAGCTAATCCGAACCCTCAAGTTCAATATGTAATAACTGCTGTACCTTTACAGAACTCTGTACCAAAATTTTAATATAGAAGTAATTTATATTTAAACATAACGTTTTTCAGTATTATAACTTTATATAAATTAGTATCTCAGGCCACATGGCGAGCTTTAATTAGATAAGCTGCTTAAAAATGTTTGTTAGCATAGATGCTTAAAGTTTTCGTTATATACTATTATATAATATGAATCGTGTGCAAATATGTTTTGTGATATAATTGTTGTTATTTACTTTATTTCAGCAAGTATATTTTGTTGATTACAAATATAGTTTATACCAGACTGGCTTTTATCAAGCATTAGATATATTTTTAAGGATTTGTTAAATAAAATATGAAACAAAATTGGAATTTCATTTATGAATAATAAACTGGAACTACATTACACATAATATGCTAATTTGTAACATTATTAAATGTACAAACGTTTTAATATTACTAACAATATCAATAAAGAAGCAATTAAGCAGGCAAGCAGGTATTGATTAAATAATAGTACGATTAAGTAATTCAATATAAAAGTTAACGTCGAGTAATTTAATCTAGGGCATTTAAAATTTTCAGTTTGAAAACAAATAAAGACTACATTTGATTAAAGAAAAGAAGCAAATTCAAAAGAAATTGAATTAGTTAATTAGAAATTGAATTAAGTAATTAGTGTTTTATACCTTATTCTAAAAATAAACTTTATGATAGGATAGTAAACAATTTTTCATAATACTAACACTTTTATATGTCACAAAGGAGCGTAAAATCACTAATAATAAAAAAAAAAGTCAAAGTAAAACTAATTATAAATAAGTTAATTAATTTTTTATAAATTAATTAAATAAATTATTAAATAATCTATATATTAAGTTGTAGCAATTCTACACAAAATTTACATATTTACAATCTTATATCTATCTATATAGGTACTCGTGCACATTGAGTTTTATTTATTAGCTTATACTATTACGCCTATTTCTTGTGGAATTAGCACAGGCTATAAGATCCAATAAAAATAGCTATACTTTTGCTTGAACATAACGGTCAGCACAGAAATCAGACCTATAAATTCATGTATTAAAGATAAGGTTTCTCTGCCTCCAGATGCATGAGAAAGAGTTACTATTTTAAGTAGCTCATATCATAATTGTCAAGCCATGAACCGTGTTGTGCATATGGGTTGTATGAGTGATTTTCAAACCCCGTTGGGTAGTATTCAGTGGGATATGCACTTGTATCGTAAAAGAAAGCCCTTGATTCAGGAGATGTATAGTTATTTACATAACGAGCGTTAAATTGATAATCTGGGAATTGATACTGTGTTGCATCTTCTCTTGTTTGGGGGGTAATTTGAGATGGTTGAAGGGTAATTTGAGATGGTTGAAGGGTAATTTGAGATGGTTGAAGGGTAATTTGAGGTAGTTGAGGGGCAATATGAGACGTTTGAGGCTTCTCTAAATTGATCGAGTAATATTCAGGCTGTGCGTTGAAAATAATTTCATTACTGCTGCTAGCAGTTGCTTGAATAACATCCGTGTGTTCCGTCACAATAGGTTCCGGAGGCGATGACGCGCAACTCTCAGAATAATCGCTAGATTCGGAACTCCGTTTTTCCTTCATCCTTCGATTTTGAAACCAGACTTTGATGGACTTATCGGAAATGTTTAAGCGCCTCGAAAGCGTTCTGCGTGTTTCTCTATCTATGTATTTGATCTGGAGAAATGTTTTCTCCAATGCCCATAGTTGTTCTGTCGTGTAGGCTGTACGGATACGTTTCTTCTTCTTGATGGTTTTTATAATTTCCGGACCTGTAGAATTTTGTATGAGAATAATAAAAAATAATCATGCCCTGACGACAAATATTCTCGTTCTAGTGAACGAGAATATTTTAGTTAGTGGACGTTTTAGAACGTTTTAAAACGCGGCTAAGTGACAAATGGTCAAATAACCGTTTTAAATAGCAAAAAATGGAGCACAAAATTCTCTTTTAAAAACAGGAACTTACCCTAACGATGAATAGCTGAAATATCATTAAACATTTTCAATATTCTGAAAACGGGGTTATGGTTTTTATGATATTTTATAAAATTATTTTGTCACTTAGCCGCTTTTTAGTTGGCGGACGACGGTATAGTATAGCCCTTTATGTGTAGCCCTTATATTTAGTATAGCCCTTTATACCCACGGCATAATATGCATTCTAAGCGGAATAGTTTATCTATAATCTCGGTGCAGAGTACTAAAAAACCGACATCAAAAGGTCGTGAAATTACATCTATTTGCCAAGTTTTATTGAAATCTGTTAGCGGAAAGTGCGCGTAACCGCATTAGTTTAACCCTAACCCTAGTTTTGCACGCTTAGGGTCGGAATATTTTCTTCAAAATTAAACCAGACCACTATTGAGGTACCCCCTTTCCAACATTAAAAAGAACGAACTAAAGAAGAAAATCGGTTATCGCGTAACATACATAGAAAAAAATACAGTCGAATTGATAATCTCCTAATTTTTTTTGAAGTTGGTTAAAAATAATCACGTTGGAATGGTCCTAACGACAATTAAACTTATGTTTTAACTAACAACTGTAAACAACTGTAACTTGAATTTTGCAATTTGGAATAGTTTACTTAAAAATAATTCTTTAATTGTAATTACGGTACTGAAAATACGCTATGAATTGCGATTCAAATAGGTTTTAAGAGCATGTACTTAACGGTCAAAATTACGAATATACAAAAGAATAATGCTGTTACATATACCCACCTTTTATTTTCTGTTGCTGTCTTTCGGGCCATATGGTGGTAAATGGCCTATTTTCCCACCCAGTATTCTGTAAATACGTAGTAATAAATCATTATATTCATTGAAAAGACAGATAAATGTTTATAAATGTTTATTTTAATCATAAGTCGGCGACCTAGGATGGAAGGGAGATATTTTATAAAAGTAAAATATTTGAATGAATGTATTTTGCTATGATTACGAAGTTCCCTATTTATATATATTTTAAGACGCGTTCCCTATTTATGCACACAACGCGTATATTCTTATTTCCGCAATTACACGTAAATTACGCGTATATTCCGTATGGGTAAATATAGAATAGAGAGAGTGATTTCTAAGATAGTGAAAAACTTTAAAATTGTGTTTAACTTGTAAAAGTAAATGACAAAAGAAGTTTATATTCATCCTACATCGTGTAACTCACCTCGTCTAATTGTCCCAAAGGAGTTGTCAGCGACGTCATTAAAATATTATGAAACATTTTTCACTAATTAAGCTAAAATTTCTAAAAACAAAATTTTAAACTCGCTGATTGAAATTTTAAATTGCAACGTGCAAACGCAACCGACTGCTCACTTAATACTGTGATACTTGTTTTTTGAAAGAAAACGTAAAGATATTTTAATGAAATTGTTTTTAAATATACCCTCGTTGCAAAATTTACCATTGTGACTTCGGTAAGTCGATTTATTCCCACTTGGACTTAAATAGAATTGTTTAATTGGTATTGTTTCTTTGTTTTTAAAGGAAAGGAAACATTTTTATGAGCTCCATTAATTTATTTTTTTATAATATATAAATTACATTTGCAATATTCACATAACTTAACATTACTTAAATAAAACATTAAATATTTTACAATGAACATGATTCTTGGCACTGCATTATTATTTATTTTAAAAATAATGTACATGTCATAAAAAATAAATATTACATTTTAGAAACACTAAATCTCACTAATAACTATATTAAATTTAGATTCAGTTGTTACATGTAATTAACAATGTATTTCTATTTTAACAAAAATGTAAGTCAAAGAGTCTCTGTAAACACTTTTCAGGAGCAAAAGGTTCCCATTTTCTTCTTAGGATCTCTTCATCGATTTCAGAAACAACTGGAGATATAGGTTCATAAATACTACCAGCATAGGTTGTACTGTCACTGTCGTCAGTCGTTTCTTCCGGTACAGTCGATTTTTCCAAGTCAATATCGTTTGGCAATACATTAGCAAGAACAGTTATTAAATCGCCCATCGCCTTGTCATCGAGAGTGACGTAACCAAATTCATCAGTCTTCTTTTCAATATCTGCTTCTATATCGTCCAGACTCGGGGAGCTGGATGATTTATTGGAATCCACAATGGCTGTGGGCTCTTGCATCGTTTTGACGATATTTACACTTTCTAGCTGATCATTATTAGAGTCGATCGTCGTGTTTGAACGACTGTTACCTGTTGTTATATGTGAAGAGTCAGAGTCAATACCCGAATCCTCACTATTCTGGCTGATTCTGTTATCGACGCATTCTGTCATCTTTGCATACGTAGCATTTAACAAATGATCGATATCAAAGTGTTTAGTTGTATTTGTGTTCTCCATTTCAATTGCACTGACAGTAACTGGGTTAGCATCAAAACTGGCCATACTGAAATAATTGCTGAGTCCACTTGTGTTCGCTGTCAAAGTGGGCGTCGAAACTTCGTAGTTTAGATTGTTTTGGGAATAATAGAATGTTTCTTCTGCTACAGAATTTGCTAATTCCAATGCCTCAGCTTCTTTTTCCTCTCTATCCCTCTTTTCTCTCAGTCTACGATTTTGGAACCACACTTTAACTGCACTGTCGCTAACATTCAGGTTTTCGACAAATATTTGTCTTTCTTCTCTCGTGATGTAGGGTTTATTTTTGAAGAACGATTCCATAGATTGTATTTGTTCTGTAGTAAACATGGTTCGCTTACGTTTGCGTTTGATAATAGCTGTTTTGAATCCTCCATTGGTATTGGGTCCATTTGTATTGGGCACCACTGTAAAGACAGATATAGAAAATAAATATGATTCAAATATGTTAAGTGAATTAAGTAATGAATTGTACGTTTAAAGAATACAACTTACAAGTAATACGAGCTTGAGGATTCGGAGAAAAAGTTTTTGTAGGTAAATGCTTCGAGGCGCAGTGACGAGCAGCTTGTTGCACGACGTTAAGGGAATGGTTACCAACAGCTTGTTGCGCCCAGTCATGATGATTCAAATGAGTATTTGGGTCAAAAGCAGCCGACTGCCAAACTTGCTGCTCAGTATGCGACCATTGGTTAGGCTGAAATTAGAGAAATAAGTCATTAATTAAATAAATGTTCATAGAGCAAAACACGGAAATGTATTTAGTGATATAATATTATTTAACTAAGAAGTAAGGTCTTACCTGATACTGACTGCCAGGCTGATTGTTATGAGGCATCCAATTACTTTGCGTATTGGTTATCCAGCACTCGTCATAAGAAATGCCGAAGTTAGTATTGATAGCACCAGTAGCACCTAGCTGATTATGAGACATCGTGTTGCGAAATGCACTGGGAACTAATGACAAGTAATTGCAAAGTACATTTCGCTTATATAGTAAGTGATTAGCATTCCCACTCCCTTCACGCTAATCCTGATTGGTAGCAAAACACTAATTAACCGCCGAAGAAAACACCTCCAAGGGCAATTGATACCTTTTATTTGTTTTTGAACTTCGTGTTTCTTTTCTCGAACTTTTGTTTTTGAAAGTTTTTACCATTAGCAAAGGTGATAAGACTGACACGATATCTCATTAGAAGACTTGTTATGTTTCAAAAGTGCGTAAAATCAAACAGGTGCAATATAAAACATAAGTTGTTGTTATTTTTATTTTTCACGGGAATTCCAAAATTCACACAGACCTTGTAGTAGTAAAATCCATACAAACTAGGTAAGATATTTTTATGGACATGAAAATATAAAAGTAGCAATATCTACTAAATAGTAACAATTACATTTTAATATATATATCACAATCTTAAATATTAAGTAGACACAAAATAATTTTACGTATAAAAACACAATGATAAATTCGAATAAATTCTAAAGAGCAATGTAAGAAGAATATTTACTTGTAGAAGTAGAAGTATGCTGATTAACAGGTTCAGAAGGTGTAGTCAAATAGCCAAAATAAGAAGGATCTTGAGTCAGCGGTATAGTAGTGACTCTAGTATGAAGACTGCCGTCTTCGTAAGTTGGTACAGATATGGACGGAATAGCGGTACTGAACCCGTAAGCTTCAGTTGTTGGTGGGTGCATAACTACCCCAGAAGGAAGCGGATTGTAATAAGACGATGCCGAAGTATACCTTGGCAAATCATCAGAAAGCTTCAAGTTGGCTCCGTTAGGTACGTAGTTATCTGACTGTAACGTGGACAAAGTATTAGAATTCGACTGCAATGACTCATCATTGTTAAAGCGATAAACCTCCGACATTGGTGAGTAAGTTACCCTGTTTGAACTAGCGTTATAATATGATGAATAAGTCAAGTTTGGCGTGTATGACGGCAACTCAAGCGTGTTTTGCGGCCCTTTTATCACAGATTTCAGAGGACTTATTGATGAGTAATCCGGAGGTCTTGATAAAACATCACTTGAAGATAAATAAACCTTGTGAGAAGCGTGACTGTCAGTTAGGAGACGTCTATGGCGATCGTGACCTCCACAGCTTCTACTGTGGCTCAATTTGTGGTCTTGACCTGGTGATAATTCTTTCGTATTGGCCGGGCTTCCATCTTCAATGGAGGACGAGGGCTTGCTGTGTTTGTTGTCCTTCTTATATTTCATTCTTCTGTTTTGAAACCAAATTTTAATTTGGCGTTCGGAGAGCTGTAAGTAGTTAGCTAGTTCAATACGCCTCGGGCGGCAAAGATAACGATTTTGGTGAAATTCATTTTCTAATTCGACTAGTTGGGAGCTGGTATAGGCTGTGCGAGCTCGTTTTGTGAAGCCTTTTTGATAAGCCGGTGAGTCTGAAGACATATCTGAAACCGTAGAAAGTCAATAATGAAATTTTTGAACTAAATAAATATTAGTTATTCTAAAAATGTCCTTATTTGTATTTTAATTGATTCCTTTTACTATAATTATTGGCTTTCTAATTTTATTCATGGACCAATATTTGTCAGAAACACATAATAATAATTAAACACTTACCGTTTCCAGGTAAAGTAGAGATCGTTCTGATAACAGGATTGCTTGAGAGTGAGAGTTTGTTACTCCATAAGGGATTCTGTAATTTGTGACAAAAGTTGAGAATTGGACAAAATTAAATAAGGACGTCTCAGCGTAACGATGTTATTTGATGCAATGAATTGTGTTAGGTCTGCTTCTTAATTGCTGCTTGTTATCGGTAACCAAATTAAATTGTCGTTAAGAGTCCGGTTATTCTGCGGTTAACACAATCGGACTTCGAATTCTTTAACATCTTCTTCAAAATGCACTGTTGTTGATCGAAATAAGTGTCATAATACGCTGTGACTTACTTGACTTGGGAAACTCGATTCACGCATGTCGTTGTCATCTCGTGCTGTTTCTTTTAGAACTTCAGCGCTCAAACTTCTTTGATGGCATTGTACAGGTTCACTAATGGTATAACTTTGATTGTACAATACTTGATTGTTAACTTGCGCACTTGTGAACAGGTTGTTGCTTTTTTCCATGCAGTCTTCTGAAATTACTTCTTCAGTTCCAGAGCCATAATTATTGTTGGGACTGTTACTAATCGTCTCGTAGTTTGGTATTTGATAATCATATCTAGGTTCCAGGTCGTCGTGATTATTTGAAGGATTGTATGACTGTGGTAATCCCAGGATGTCCTGAATGCTGAAACCTGTAGAGTCTCTAGAGTTGTAATCTTGTACAAAAGAGTGAGGTATTGCCGACAAAACTTCAGTTTTACATTCAGGGAATGTGTTTTCTGCGGGACTGTAATTTACTCCATCGGAAAGTATATCTTCCACGCCATGAGATGTTAATTGCATGCTTAATTTATTGATACTTCTTTGTGAACGGTCCGTAAGCTGGTTTATATTGTAAGCTATTATACCTGAGGTAGAAAGTTCTGAAGAATTCGTATCTCTGGTGTCTTCGTAATCTGATTGTAAACTTGGCGGTGAAGGTGTTCCAGAAGACATTTTCTTACACGAATGTCTAACAAACGCGGAACTCTTTTGTTATTTTTTAAACATCACTTTGATTCTATGGTATTATTGATGTAGTCGTCTGTTCCGATAGATGCTTGTTTACCAAATGTTTGTTTCCTCACCTATTCTCGTTAATTTGGTAATGACTTTATGCGTTTGTGTGCAGGTTCTTGTGAAGGTAATGACATGTGTGCAGCAGATAAGGTGGACATACCGGGTCTTCGATAGTGGACTTGAGATAATATTAAAATCGGTTTCGGTAGCTAAAACGCTTGTCACAATTGTTTAAACTTTTTTGTTATACTGATAACAGTAGTATATTGAATAGACAAAAAAAGTCGGTTGTGGGATCGTTTTATGAGTTCGGTGGTAAACATTTTTGTGTACCATATAAACAAGAAAGTTAAGATTAATGCACAATGCTCATTTTTATTTCATATTTCTGTGCTAAACATACTACCACCACAGCACAACGACAATATTTATGGTTTTTTATTAAATAAATTTTTCGAAATTTCTGTATACGTTTAACTCTTGCCTTTGATACATGGTACTAGTTTTTGATGGTTTATTAAGCGGAGTATAGCAAGGTTCGTCCAGCATGCTTGGCAATATTGTATTATCATTAATGACACCTTCATAACTGCGAACAATGTGCAATAGAAAAATTATATAGATTCATGTGTTTTATATAAACTTTTGAATAGCTACATCAATTTACCATAATTACAACAGAAAATTTAGTTAAGATCTCCGGCTTACACCTTTCGTTCTAAGGCTACCTTCTCATGCAAATTTAGTAGAAGAAACTAATCTAAAAATGGTTTTTTTAGGAGCGCTTTGGATTTCTTTAATAAAAATATACATGACATGAATATTTTTGGCTTATCCTTATATAGTTTTGTAAGGAAAATAAGAGAAGTATTTTTTTAATTTTATTTGCGTACAACAGTGCACTGCAATGTTTGGAATGTTACTGTATTACCTAGTTGTTGGAACCGTACTTGCATGCTAAATTCTTGTTTATGTTTGTAGAACTCCAGGTCTAATTGTTGTAATTGATGTTTATGTATCACTTACCTGTTTTATGACTGTTTGTTTCCATGAATAAAAAAAAGTATATAGTATGTGATAGTAACTTAAATACTTCCTACTGCCTTTGCCTACTACTTACCTACTTGTCAGCGATTAGCCTACTTGTGCGTTATCACGTAGAAACTTGATTTGTGACGAACGTTCCTTTTGGGTATTTTTGGTGCATTTGTGCGTCATTTCTTATCAACGTTATAACTAAGTACGGGCTTATTTTTGATATTTTGTAATTTAAAATTTTGGTTTCGAACAGGATATCATATTACGATGGTATCGTAAAAATAAGTTTCACAGTTTGAAATTTGTATGAGCATTTTTTTTAAATTTTAATTTCAATAATTGAATTGATATAAACTACCTCTGTGGCACCTGAGAGACATGAAAAGTAAAAAAAAAACACAGGAAAGTTTAATTTTCGAATGTTCTTTCAAATGATGTTGCTTTTTTTTAATAGCACTAGAGCTCCTTGTGAAAGGGTTCGTCCAGGGAAGTACTGCCACCTTACCTATTTCTGCCGCAGTAATGTCAGCATTACTGCGTTCCGGTTTTGAAGAGTAAGGGGTGCTGGTGAAATTACAGGCACATAAGACTTGTCAACTTATGTCTCAGAGTGACGGGCGCAGTGGCAGTGCCCCTCAGATCTTTGCGATTTAAAGCTTGTGAGTGGCACTGAAACTGTTATGGATAGGCATGTTGCTTGCGCATGCATTCGTCCAGACACTTGGTATTATAAAAAAAATCAATGCCTGTCAAGATAAAAATCTGCTAATCTGCGCTTGAGACTAATCAAGCATTGAAATAGATTATAATGGCCTTGACAATTACCATAACGCGCTAAGTAATATATTGGAAGTTGTTTGCGACGAAAACATCAGAAACCCATTGAGGAGGTGCTATACTTCACAAGCACGTGCTAAAGTTAAATGAAATTTTAATACGTTGCCTTGTTATTTTAATATGTATTGAGAGTGTATTGGTTTTAAATGAAATGTTTGATTGTTTTACGAATTTTGAAATTTGATGGCTCAATTATTATAATTAACATTATTATAATTATCTTTATTATAATGAACATAGTTACTGGTGATTATCGAAATTATATATAAATTTTTATTTTAGTATTATATTGACTTTGAGCGATATCACTAGGACTTTGAGTCTCACTGCATTTTCGCGTTCCGAAAAAGAAATGAGATTCTTTTTCTCTCGATTTTTTAATGATAAATTAAGTGCGTATTTAACCTCCTTCTCACCTGGTGGGAAGTGATGATAAGGTAGACGGTGGCGCATGCAAACCTAAATATGCTTATTCACTGTCGCCTTGAAAAGGTTCAAATTTTTTTTTATATATTAAAAACCAAGTGTTTGAACGAACAAGTCGTGCGTCTGATGGTAAGCGACACGCCAGTCCATAACAGTTAGCAGTTGCAGTACTACTCAGAGCTTTAAATTACAAAGATCTGAGGGGCACTGCCACTAAGCCCGACGCCCTGAGGCATATGCTGACAAATCCCGTGTGCCTGTAATTTCACCAGCTACTTACCCTTCGAAACTGGAACGTAGTAATGCTGACACGACTGCTTGGCGGCCGAAATTGGTAAGGTGGCATTAGCTCTCTGGACGAACTCTTTCACAGGGCTCTACTGCTACTAAAAGTGTTCAGGGAATATGTGTTGCAGGTAAGGATTTCACTCCACCGCCGTTCGCCGTATAAAATCCTGGGAACGAGACTTTTCAGACTATTTCAAAAGTAGGTGTCCATACTTACCTATAGGCTTGGCATTTAAGCGATAAAGACATATTGGATTTTTAATCAAGTTCTTTATTATAAAAGATTTTTTTTTAATTTTTACATTGAGCACGTAAGAAACAAATGGTTTTTAATGTAGTTTCAAAAGAGAGAAATTGATTTTATTACTGTCGTTTTTCAATCTCTATAGATTATACTAAGCTCCACTTTACAATGTTCACATATTACATGTAACCAGAACACAGAACAATAAATTTAGTAGAAGTGTTTAGTTAGTAAAATCAAAACGTCGTAACGTGCAATAATACGAATTGATGGTATAGAAATTTCAACGATGTGCCAACAAGGTAAAGTTTAAATTATATTAACAGTCCATAATTTGTTATTTCTTTTAAATTTATAGTAATAATAATATTAACGCACACACTCAACATGGCCCCGCACTAGGCAAACCCTGTGTCGCGGGTGCAATGGACACGCATAGACAACCACAAATTTCACCCAAACTCACGAGAGAAATAAATGTAGGCCATACAAATATTTCTCCCGGCCCGGGAATCGAACCTGGGACCTCTGCGTGGCAGTCCGGCATGGTAACCGTTCGGCCACGGAGGAAGCTTAATTTAAAACTGCGACCAATCATTATATCAAGATTTCATAGTATTTCAAATTATGAATGTCTGAGGTTTGGCGGTTCTGATAGTAATTGAGGCTTAAGGCACTACATTTTTTTTCTTCCGTGAACCAGAATAAAAAGTGTTTGTTGGTTTCACTAGACTTTTATTAAAAATAGAATTTTGTAGTCTATTTTTAATTCAAACATTAGTCTCTAGTCTCAAAAATGTCTAAAAATAGTCAAGACTGGCGAAATGTTTGAAACCGACAGTTCAGGAATGAAAGCACTAGTTACCTACCACCTTTATTTTACCTGTGGCCGCATTGAGTTTTCTCGTGCAAAGGTTTGGGCCCTTGGGAGATACAAACAAGTGCAGTGTGGACTGTATCTGAGCACCGCTGCCGCCGTCACATTGGGTTACATTAGCATCCTTGAATCCCCGTTTACACATTTTATAGTATTAAAATTACAGGACTAGGCGACTGCGTACCGGAAGATATGGCGTGGGCGTCACCCACAAGGTGGACTGATCCTTTGGTGAAGGTTGCGGGCATCCGATGGATACAAGCAGCACAAGACCGGTCGTTGTGGCGATCTTTAGGGGAGACCTATTTATGTCCGCAGAATACATTTTTCGATTGAAATGATGATGATGAAGACCCAATTTGTAGTGCTCGTTGAGTTGAGCGTAGCGATCTGCAGTTTAGTGTTTGTTGTTTGAAATATTTTGTATTGATGGAATAGTCGCTCTGTTTCATAAGGGAACTTCCTGATTAATTGTAATAAACTTAAAATTATAATGTCCATATTAAATGCCATATCAACCTATTTAAAGACGTTTTCATAGTTGATATTTTGTGTTTGTAAAGTTTTAGTCGTTTTCTCACTAGCCACAGAGTCGAAGGGGTACCATTGTCCCAAGTGATGGATGGATTCGCTCCGTGAGAGTTTGCGCATGTTGAGGATTACGTCACTTTTGTACTGGACTGGAGGTTGGTATAAGTGAGTATAAGTTGATATAGTTGGTCTAATATCCAGTGGCGAAACTGAACTACGAATTCGCCTTCTGCAGGAGCTGATCCTTTGAAAGAAACAATCGTTAACAACTAGTATAAAATAAAAAGTGTTTAAGGCTGCTAACAGGTCGACTCCACGATTGCATTTTATGCGTGAAGTCGTATTCCAAGACCTCGAATGCTTAAAGTTACATACACCACATATTACAACATATTACATTAAATCTGATAGCAGCATTAGAACAAAAAGTTATATTAGTAAAATATTTCTTAAAATTATATTTATAATGAAGTATGACGCTCGCCGCGCGCCGCCGCCGTGTACGGACGCCCACATTCGTATAATAATGAAAGGTGTGTGGTACGACCACCACTATGCAACGCGAGTGCACCGCGAGATTATGGGAATGTGCGTCCGTACACAGCATGCGGTGGGCGTGGGTACACAAACAAGCACACTGCACTGCTACGTTTCTATGGAGTTACCATATTTGTCTTGTTATCCTATGGTATGAGT